GGGACCAGCCACATACAAGCTCATAAGGAACCTGGTGAGTCCAGATAAGCCCAGCACGAAAACATATAACCAAATAGTGACTATAATGAAAGACCACTTCAATCCCAAACCAAGCGAGATCGTGCAGAGATACAAATTCGACTCTCGTGCCCGTCAGCCTAGTGAAACTGTGAGTGCATACGTAGCTGAGCTGAGACGACTCGCTCAGGATTGTAACTTCGGCACGACACTGGAGCAAATGTTAAGAGACCGCCTCGTTTGTGGCATCAATGATGATAGGATTCAAAGACGTTTGTTATCTGAAACCGATTTAACATTTGAGAAGGCATTTCAAATTGCCGTAGCAGCCGAAGCCGCCAGTAGGAATGTGCAGGACCTTCAAAATAAAGCTCCGTTAGCTTGTAACAGCATGAAGACGGAGGGAAAGGAGAGGAAGGGAGACTGGAAAAAGAAAGAGTGCTACAGATGCCACGGAAAGCAACACAGTGCAGCCGAGTGCAAGTTTAAAGAAGCAAAGTGTCACGCCTGTGGAAAAGTAGGACACATCGCCAAAGCCTGCCGAAATAAAAATAAAGGGAGCTCGCGGCCAGATGAAAGGAAACCAAACAGAGAGGAGCGGCCCCGCGTCCACAGAAAGCACACAAGGTGTGTGAGGGGCAGGATGATAGTTCATCAGAGCAAGAAGAAGCCTTCACGTTAGCTTTTATTAAAACAGAAACCTCAATCCGGAGAATTAAGCCATTTGAAGTAAAGATGGAAGTGAATAGGAAGAAAGTAAACTTTGAGATTGACACTGGATGTAGTGTGAGTCTTATGAATGAGACAACATTTAATGAAATGTGGGAAGAGAACAAGCAGCCACAGCTCAAAGAAACTAATCTCACACTGAGATCCTATACAGGGGAGAAAATTAAAATTGTGGGAGTAGCAGATGTGGAAGTAATCTATGGCCAGCAAGTGAAGACGTTACCCCTAGTGGTGGAGAAGGGTACTGGACCTAGTTTGCTGGGAAGAGCATGGCTGGAGACACTGAAGCTTAAGTGGGATGAAATAAAACATGTGAGAACAGAGACACAAGGGCTACAGCAGGTACTTTCAAAACATGAAG